CTTAACTTTGATAAAGAATATCTCTTTGGTTTTGAGACTTTAGTCTTTGCAACTTCAGGGATCTTATCTATGCACAATCAGCTTGTAACACTCCAAAGAGAAAGGAAAACTTGAAATCGGCTCATATGACCCCTTTAACCACTCCAAAGAACCGCTGAAGAACCTTTTTTTTTAGAGTGTTCTAACATAACCGCTGACTAATGTTTCAGGTTTAGTTAAGTTGTATGTATATAACTATCGGGGGCTAGACAAAGAGTACTAGCATAACCGCTGATTATTGTTTGAGCTTTAACTAAGTTGTACATGGGTAACTGTAGGGGGCTAAACAGAACTACTTTTTAAAGAATGGTAAGCATGGGCTACCTATTAAATAGTATTAGTCATAACCTCTGTCTAATGTTCAGACTGGCGAGTTTGTGATCGTGGGGTCCATGTAAAACGGCTGACGTGAGGCACCCTGAGCGACATAGATTCCTAACGAACGAGTAAATATAAAGTAAAGAGTTAACTAGAATAATCAAATGTCAGAATAGTAATAATTAGAAATGGACAAACAACCAATTTGCATTTCACCCTAAATTCAAGGTCATAATGAAATGGAGTCAGATTTGAATTTAACCTAAATTTAATAATTTTGCGCGCTGAAAAGACCGAACACGCAGGAAACCTTCATCCACCATTGGATACCTCCGATGGGCCAATCGTGTGGACCTTACAGTACCGTATGAGTCTTCAGTTCTGGTGTAAACCACAGCACGTTTAACAAAATAAAAGTATCCCACAAAGGTGAAAATGTTCAGAGAAACAGGTCACAAGTTTAAATATGTTGAAGTTTAAATTGTATAACTAGACCAAAATGCAGAGACACTAAACCACCAAGTCCATCTGCTTCCTTTCCAGAGCAAAGTTGAGCATGGGATAATTAGTCTCTGTATCATTTCTCTAGGAGAATCTAAAGCTTATATTAAATGTTATTCAAACATATTTAAACATTTTTTTGAAATAATAGTTGGTTAACTCAATAGAAACAATTCCTAGCTTGGGAATTAAGATTGTAACGTTTCAGTTGCTAGTCCAGATCTTCAACTGTGGTTTCATCTAGTCAGAGGATATCAAACATGTTTGATATTTTGAGCCGATTTTAGAACACGTTGTGTTTTATTTATCATCCATCTCCTAACTGCACAACATGCTTCTGTGTCTGTTTGTTGTGTTTGGAATGATGTGCAAGTCTGGTACTTTGTGATCCTCAATCATATTGTGTAAGATAGCTAGTTATAATCTGTAACCGTTTACAAAGTCGACAAGTAGCCTATGTATTGCCTAGTGTTTAAAAATCTGTTTAGATATACTGAATTCCAGTCTTAACCATTGTTAACCTGGCACCCTGTACTGTTTAATACAGTATTGTGTTTGCAGGGCAGTGTGAATTATCAAAGACGCAATCTGAGGGAATCGTCGACACGTCGCCGACGCCCGCAAAATATTTGGCATGCTAAATATC